CCCCTTTAACGCCGCGTGCACATATTTCGTTAGTTAACTTCAGTTTTCCCGTTTACTAGTAAACGCGCGTTTACTATAATCACGTTAACGCGGTCAAAATGGAAATGTTTGATGTCTTCTCGCTACTAGGACTTTGTGGTTATTAGATATCCGTGGTTATTAGTTTTCAAGATGGCGACTTGCCGAGAATTGATAGTCGGTTTTCAAAATCGATTAACTTGCTTATCTAGACGAATAAACCTTTAATATTTTGGGAATATGCTAATTTATTTAGGATGAACATAATATAAAATTTTTGTTTTTTTTGCGAATTTCCCCTTTAACGCCGCGTGCACATATTTCGTTAGTTAACTTCAGTTTTCCCGTTTACTAGTAAACGCGCGTTTACTATAATCACGTTAACGCGGTCAAAATGGAAATGTTTGATGTCTTCTCGCTACTAGGACTTTGTGGTAATTAGATATCCGTGGTTATTAATTTTCAAGATGGCGACTTGCCGAGAATTGATAGTCGGTTTTCAAAATCGATTAACTCGCTTATCTAGACGGGCATTTACTCTGTGTCCGTTTAGTCAGTAGTAAACGGGCGTTTACTACAGATGTCAAAAGTTTATTTTTATGTGCACTTTAAGGTAAACGTGCGTTCACTTTTCGCGTTAACTGATTGTGTACATTATGAAATAAACTTCATGTACATTTGTACATTTGTTTTAATTTGTTACCACGACTTTTATCTTAATATTTTACGTATATGTAATTCAAATATGTATTTAAAACCGTCACAATTTGAAAACTCTTTCAATTAAGAATTAAATGCTTTTTTGTAAATTCATTGGGGTGTTAAAGCGTTGACCGAAGTACATGTTGTATGAAGCGCGGAAGCATTCAATACTTATAATTACATTTTTTCGCTATGATCATGAAAACATGACTACTATCAAGTTTATCTTGTATTTACACATTGTATCTTGTGCCTTTTATTGTGGAGAAGTGTGTCATCATGTATGTTTCAATTCATACGATTCATTTTGAAATGAAGAATGACACAAGATTGTTGTTAGCCAATCAAAATAACGTATAATAATGAAACATACATCTAATGTAATTATTTGAAATATTAACGTTTGTTAATTGCAACAAATCAGTTCCAATTACTTAAAATAGCGGATTTTCTATAGTTTCTTTACCTTGAATAGTATTTCATCGGTTAAACCAGTTTTACTTTTGATTTGATTTTTTTACATTGTGAACAATGTAATGCTAGTTTTATTGGAAAACATAGTTTGCAAAAAGAGTTGCATTTATATATGTCACAGAAACATGAGTTGAAATTCGGCTAACGGATGAATTAAAGAATTGTACAGTAAATTTGCAGATGTAACATTCTTAGGCTCAGTATCAGCTGAAGCATGTGTAATATGTTGTGTTAGTCATGTTTAACCCTTGGTTATGCAAATGAAAAATTTCGTCGCAAATTTGTTACATTTTTTCATGTACCAGTAATGTATGAAATTTCGAGTTTGTCGGATACAATTCACTTGGAAACTCAACATATACCTTCACGACACTTACCAAAGAGGAAATCCTAGATAAGCATAGGTCTGTTCTATGTTCCTTTGGAATTTCAACCAAAGATGAAGAACTGGATCTTCCATCACTGTATTGGATACCTAAAGGTGTAATACCACCAAATCATGGTACGTCACATCTGGTTGCATACGAAAACAGGTCGAAAAAAAAATAATCGCTTGAATTTTACAGTTGTAGGTAATAAATCCTACATTTTATTGCAGTAAAACATTTCTGGGTCATAAACATATGTCTTGGGTATTTCAAAGCACCATTATTTTTTTAAAGCTTGTATACATGTTAAATAAGGGGGGGAATTTGATTGCTTAACTTCCAGTGATGGTTATTTTCCTCTATGCAATGAAATGTTATGTGGAATTTTTTCTAAAGTACTGGACAGGATAAAACTTTACTCATGCTAAGTATTTCTTTATTTGAAACAAAAATAAATTCTGCTCAATTTTTTGAAAAGTGCAAATTTAACAAAGACTAATGGGGGGAAATCAATAGTGGTATTACACCTAAAATACATAAGTGTCCTTACAAACAACAGTATATTGCTGGGTCTTCCAAGTGCTCCACGAAACCTCTTTCTAAATTATTAACATCTATTTTATCAGCAATCAAAGCCGGGCTGCACAGTAATTGTGAAACTGCCTATTCTAGAGGTGGCGTGAATCAGATGTGGATACTAAAAAATTCCAAAGATCTTTTAGAGTACATACAATCTAAGACTCTCTCATCTTGCAATAGTATTAAAACATTTGACTTTTCTACACTTTACACAAGTATTCCCTATTCCAAACTAAAATACAAATTGAAAGAGTTGGTATTGCTTTGTTTTATAAAAAAGAATGGCGAACGTAGATACAAGTACCTTGTCTTGGAGAGGGATAAATCCTACTTTGTAAAGAATCACTCAGATTCAAACAAAAAATCCTCTGAAACTGACATTATCAAGATGCTTGATTTCTTGATTGACAACATATTTGTTACGTTTGGAGGACGTGTTTTTCAACAGACTGTCGGCATTCCAATGGGAACCAATTGTGCCCCTCTTCTTGCCGACTTGTTTCTTTATTATTATGAGCCTGACTTCATACAGGAACTACTTAGGAAGCAAGATAAGAAGTTAGCGATATTCTTTTACTTTACTTTCCGCTATATAGATGATGTTCTGTGACTAAATAATTCAAAATTTGGTGACTATGTTGAACGCATTTATCCCATCGAACTAGAGATAAAGAATACATCTAGAAATTGACAATGAGGGTCGGTTGAAAACAAAACTTTACGACAAAAGAGATGATTTCAGCTTCCCAATTGTGAACTTTCAATTTCTATGGAGCAACATTCCAGCAGCGCCTGCATACGGAGTATATATCTCCCAATTGATACGATATTCCCGGGCTTGTATTTCCTATCATGATTTCCTTGATAGAGGGTTGCTGCTCACAAGGAAAAGCTATTAAACCAAGAGTTCCAAATGGTGAAGTTGAAATCATCCCTTCGTAACTTTTACGGACGCCATCACGAGTTGGTTGACCGTTATGGAAGAACCGTTTCACAGATGATATCGGATATGTTCCTTATGTCTTAACTACAATCCATTTCCCTTTTCATCACTCACGAATGTGACCTACCGAATTAGACTATTTACCGGATTTGTAATCACATGAGCAACACGACGGGTGCCACATGTGGAGCAGGATCTGCTTACCCTCCGGAGCACATGAGATCACCCCCGGTTTTTGGTGGGGTTCGTGTTGCTTAGTCTTTAGTTTTCTATGTTGTGTCTTGTGTACTATTATTTGTCTGTTTGTCTTTTTTATTTTTTAGCCATGGCGTTGTCAGTTTATTTTCGATCTTTGAGTTTGACTGATCCTCTGGTATCTTTCGCCCCTCTTTTTTATCTTTGTTCCGTTGATTGATGTAGTCGAGCGTTTGATTTTATTATATTTTATGGGGCTCCCTTTTTTACATTTACCTTTGAGTTCGGTATTTGGTAAAAACGTTTTGTCTGTATATCTGTATTTAATTCTTTTGGTATGTCCTTATCCTTATATCAAACATGATTTGGTATTTGTTGGTTAAAAGTGACATCTTTTTTGTACCTGATTGGTCATTTCTCTTCTTAAGTAGATTAATAGAATAACATTTCTGTTGATATAGCAGAGTTGGTATTATTTTGTGTCACACTAATAACCAGTTGATGATATGTTACAGGCGTTTGATAGTCGGTTCAGAGATTTAAGCGAGTGTGTTTTTTGTAATTTTCTTGATTAGTCTATGTACTTTGTATTTACTGACCTTTGACAAATGTTTGACGATTTCGTTTCTGAGATGAAATTCCTGTTACTGCGAACTGCTGATGTTATTATCTTATCAAGTCGTAACCATAACATGCATAAAACCATTTGTTTTGCCTTCGTTGAAGGCTTTCTGGGTGGAATTGAATGTGTCGCCGTTTTTACTTATGTATTTGTCAACGTAGTCCAAGGTCTCCGACTTTAGGTCGAAATTTGTCATGTATGAGATTTTATTGCAGTGCAAGTATATCATCTCTGTTAAGTTGGTCGGAGGTTGTCGAGTTTATCCCTTGAGATAGGTAACCAAATCTATTTTGCAGCTCAATCAGATGCACAAAGTAGCATATATTTGTTAGTTTGTGACTAGACGATTTTGAGGCGTCGATGGTGCGTTATATGCGTTCCATCATACCTGTGTTGGTACATTATTGTTATTTCGTTGGTGTGATTTTGTTTAGGATTCGGTTACTAACTGAAAAACCGTTTTACTGGCACTGCAATCATGTCACATCTTAACGTTTTAATCCTTCTTTGTGTCGCAGTAAACACAATGGTATTGCGTTCTAATCTAGCATTTCGTTCGAATCATTAGGATTTCGGCAGTATCAGTATAATAAATTCATGATGAACTTTATTGATTTACTCCAACAGAATTATACGGTATTTGTTTTAGTAAGATAATATTTTTTCATATATATTATAAAAAATATATATATTTATTGATTTTAACTGTGATGGTTACAGTTATTCATTTTGAGAATATGCTAGTATTCCTACTAAACCACTGAATCTTTTCATATTATTACAAAAATATTAATCGGTATAATTGCAAATGAGACAATTAACTAAACACGACCAAATAACGTGAAGTAAAGCAACTATAGGTAACAGTTCGACCTTTAGTAAAGGGCAGAATCATACCGTATAATACGATATGAAATACCATTACCTGTCACAATTCAAAATAAAAGCAAACTAAAAAACTAACCGTTTCATATGTAACATGTTGATTTTAATATTATTCGATAAAACTTAAGTCATGAGAAAGTATGTTTACCTATGAAATATAGATATATGACATTTTGGTTTCGGTGTTATATAAAAAAATATTTTTCAGATTCAATGAAGATAAAAGAATGTTCTTTGATGTTCAAGCATTTAAAACAAACTAATAAGTCTTTGTTAAAAACTGCAAGGCTATTGACTATAACAGTTGAATTAGGAAAATCCACAAAACTTCCAGAATGCATTGTTAAAAATAGTGATTTAATTCAACCACTACAGTGGAAACGTATCTCGGGATCTCAGGGGAAAGGACTACTGCAATTACAACCATTCTTCGAAATGCTTTCTTTGTCGCTTCTGAGCTATAGAACAGAAAAAACTTCAATATCATTAAAATCCACACCGCAAGGTTGCCTGGAAAAGTTAAATGAACAGGAATACGAACTGGTTTTCCGAAATTTTTTGCTCAACTTTACAAGAGAAAAGGAAGAAATATGTAACGAACATATCGGGAGTAGATCACAATACGCAATATTTTATCACGAATGTTGTCATTATGACCAAAATGGAAACATGCAATGTAATCCCGTTTTAAAGAACAAATGGATGATAGCTCTAGAGTATTGCACTTACATTGTAATTATTATTGTTGTGTTGTATTGTCCTCTTTTGGTCCCGTCATCTTTGTATGATTCGGATTATTGTCCCAAAAGGTTTGTGCTTTGTCTTCATGATCACCACTCCTCCTTCGAAGTAAAGAAAGTAAAGAATCCTCCAAAACCCGGATTTTTTATTAACGAACAAATGAATGGGAAAAGCACTTTTCTGTCATACACTAAATTGAACATGTTGATCGGTATGAAGAAATTTAAAGAAATACTTAAAACAAAAAATGACGAAGACACACATCAATTTAAATTCTCAAATATATATTTCGACGTCAGGGCCGACGAACTTTTGAGCGCAAATGAAAACCCTATCAGTTTTTCTAAAATATTATACAATCTATTCTTAAAATGCGGCATAAGAAATCAGGAAGGCGTTGCCACATGTTGTAAATCAAATATGTTTGGTAAATGTTTGGAAAGCAGGATAAACTTTCAATGGTATAAATTATTTCGTTTTCTTCTTCGAATAATTTTATCACTAGCCGTATGCCTACCGTGGGTTATTCGTATAAGTATTTTCTATGTTTACGAAAATGAGATACGTGAAACAAGACACAAGGCAGCAGAAACCAAAAACTTACTTTTTCGTATAGAACACAGTATAGCGTATTACGGAACACCTTTACATATTCTTTTCATTTTGTCTTATGCTTTCATTTGCCTCGGTTACATCTCTCTAGAACTTACAAGTGTAATTTTACTCAAGAATGTCAAGAGTTTAGTCCGAGAAATTTTAACAAAGTGTTTTCACGGTATCTGTTGTCGATCTTCGCAAAAATCTATCCGATGGCTTATAGAAGTTTTATTGCACCCCTTCAGTGAAAAGGGAATTTTTGGGATATTCTTTGTTTTCCCGTACTGGATATATACTGTGCCTACAAGTGTTGCAGTTTCTGCCTACTATCTTTTCCCAGCCGTTTACATCGCAGTGAATTATTCAAGTATGATTCTGAATATTTTTTGTACGTTCAGTTGTAATTTAAGGAAATTACAATACACACGAAAGAGAACTTCTTACTTCAATTTACGAGATTTCTGCTCTGTTGAAGAAAAGAACAAAATGCACCACAGTTTATCAGTTTCAACTATAGAAATTGGATTAATGTTTATTATACTGTGTTTAATGTTGTCATCTCTGTTGTTGATAGTTGAACTTGTAATATTTTTGATAAAGGTAGGAGTCTACACCATGGTGGGAATAATTTTAAATTCATCACATGCCATGCAGTACATATCGACAATTTCATTAGCATGGTTGTACTACCGTAGATGTTTTGGTGGAATTTGTCAGATTTATGAGAGCTACAATAAAGCTGTTCAGCGCATCATGTACGGAGCAAATAAACAACACGTGGATAACATAGCCAAAAAACAAATAAACGAACAAGAGAATATGGCATTTAAGGTTAAAGGTTCAGAAACAATATTGTATGATAAAATCGGTAAACAGAAAAACAAACGGAAAATAAACATTGATAACCATGATAGAGTTCTAAAATACAGGACAAATGGCGTCATTTTGTTGTTAGATAGGTTTGATAAACAATACATAACGAAAAAATTCTTTTTCAAAGTTTGTAACATTATACCTGACGGTCCAGGGCCGATAAGCAAACACTTCGGTGTAGCAATGAGGCGTTTGAGCTTAATTTTTATGTTCTTGATATTCGTGACGCTTGTTGTTTTAGCATTTGGAGATTCATACAACGTATCTTTTTCTAATCAGTTGTTAGCCACGCTTGCCGGTGGAGTCGTACCATGGATTCTGATGAAAACTAATATTGTATTTGCACAAGCTGACAAGAAAGATGCAAATGAACTTGTTGATATATATTTTGGCAACGACAGTGAACGAAATGTGTCACTGGATTTAACAGACAGTGGTGAAGTAAGTGTGAAGAGTGTATTTAAGAAGAAATTTGATAATAAAATTAAAGAGGATGAAAAATGGTGGACCATTGCTGATTTTGGTGTGACAAAAGATAAACCATTAGTTGATGAAGAAGACCGCGACAAAAAAGGAAATGTTGAGGAACAATTAGATCGTAATGATGAGTATAACGTTAGAAGTATTCACCGGGAGACTACGGTTTAGAGATGTGTTAAAGCTTACACTTTTTTAATCATACATATGTCGTTCAATAATGATGATTTGACTTGTTTGAATGTACTATCACTTGTGAATATTCTATCATGATATATTTTTAAAAATAAGGTGATGTTGTATGATTGCCAATTCACAACTATAAAAAACCAGATTTAAGTTGAGCTGACAGTTGTTGGCATGATACGGGTTATGTTCTTCTCATATATTTTATGATGGTATGATACTAAACCCCTAACGGGAGGGATTGTACTTGATTTTCATATGAAGACATAATCTTTCAATCAGTTTAATTGAGGTCTGGAGCTGGCATGTCATGAACTGCTAGTAGTCCTTTGTTAATTTATGTATCATAGTCATTTTGCTAAGTTTCTTTTGTTACCTATTCTGACATCGGACTCGGACTTCTTTTAAACTGAGTTTTACTGTGCGTATTGCAATTTGTTTCTTTATTCTACATTGTCTAGATGTATAGGGGGAGGGTTGAGATCTCACAAAACATGCTTAACCCCGCCGCATTTTTGCGCCTGTCCCGAGTCAGGAGCCTCTGGCCTTTGTTAGTCTTGTATGTTTTTATAATTTTAGTTAGTTTATATGTTTTGGAGGTTAGTGTTACGTCCATTTTCACTGAACTAGTACACAATTTTATTTAGGGACCAGCTGAGGACCAACTCCTGGTGTGGGATTTTCTCGCTGCGTTGAAGACCCATTGTTGGCCTTCGGATGTTGTCTGCTCTTTGGTCGGGTTGTTGTCTCTTTGACATGTTCCCCATTTCCATTCTCAATTTTATTCAACGTGAGCAATTTGAGGACACCACAAGACCTTTATCTTTGAGCCGAACTTATACATGTTATACCTTATGTACTTTACTTACGATGATTTAAACACATTTTTGTTTCGAATCTTAACTTTAATGTAAAATCGATGATTTTTAGTTTTCCTTGTCACTTTCCATTTCAAAGTATGAATGTTTTAGCACTGTCCGAAAATGGAGTATTTATCTATGATATTCGACACCTGTCCTTACACATGGGAGCTATTGAACTTGCATATCTAGTGGTAACTTGATTTTTTTACCGAACGTTCTATTGGCGTCATTAGTATTCTGTTGACCGTTTTGAAATATGTATGTCACAGATGACCACATTTATGTTTCAATTGTCGTTGTACCAATTTACAATCATCGGTTGTGACAGTACCAAATGAGATGTATCAAGCACCGAATTGGTACGTCAAATGAGAAAAAAAACTGACATTATAATATGACGTGCCTAAACGCTTTTAAGCGTTTATGCTGGTTTGTGTACTGTCTTAAATTTATTTTATGTATTCGTTTTTATTATGTGGTTAACATGTCGAAATGTACTATTATATTATTCATTTATGTATTTCTCTGTCCTGAGTGTACTTGCATTTATTCGTACTGTATTCCTGTCATGTAATGTTATCATTTAAGCGGTATATTTAACATTGCCATAAAGCGCGAGGTTTTTGCTAGCCACACAACCAGGTTCAACCACCATTGTTTCTTAAAATGACCTGTACCAATTCAGGAATATGGCAGTTGTTATCTTATAGTTCGTTTCTATGTATGTTGCATTATCGTTTGTTTTTTGTTGCACTTCAGTGTTTCTGTTGGTCTGTTGCTTTCCTCTCATAGTTGATGTGTTTCCCTCAGTTTTAGTTTGTACCCCGGTTTCGTTTTCTCTCAATCGATTTATGACTTTTGAACAGCGGTATATACTACTGTTGCCTTTATTTGATTATACACCCGTGTTTAAATATGTTCCGATCATTATCCCGTATGACGTAAGAATATACCCATATAGGAAAATTCAGGATTGTGAAACCGAGAGTCATCAAAACAGGGAAACATAAACAAACGATGATAAAATGTTTTATAAGCAAATTGTCTTTTACATTGAAGTATTATTATCATTTACATTCGTCCAAACCTATCAAATTCTTTATTACAAATAAGTATGTCACTAGTTCAGTTTGCTCCGTTCTTTTACGTCAATATGATATTGTGTTTATCTACGAGAATGGCAAATATTTGCCTACACCTAGAGCGATTCGATAAAAAACAATTGACGCATTAGTTCTATTAAAATAGATACATGTACTACAATAGCAAGTGACTGGTAGGAATATTTCCTTTTTCACAACAAACATATATTTGACTTTCAATTTGTCGAATCGTTTTGACTGAACGTAATCTTTTATCACATCACATTCATATTTTATTTATTTTTCAATAATTATAATAAAAATTATATACATTTTATAAATTTTTGTGAAATATTATAATGCATAATTTTGATACAACTATACTATGATACAGTCTTGCACTACTTTTTAATTGTCTTTATGCAGTACCTGTACGTTTATGGTATTCATCTGTGGGGGTCGTCGCCTTTCTTTTGTCTGTTTTATTTGTCATGATTTGATTTTCAGGGTTTACATTAACAGGTGTTCAGTGGTGATATTGGCTGCTAACTCCTTGTGGTGCATTATTTCGTGGTTTTCTTACCACCGATTTCTAATTAGAGACTTTAATTTGTTTACTTTGAGTACCTACTGCTACTGCGTTTTTTTGCGTTTTTACCATTGGTTTTCTATCATCACTGGTATTTATGTTAGTGGATATTTTCAATTTATCGTTGGTACTTTTAACATTTTTTACATATACTTAATTAAATGACGCCTTTGTACATGTTTTTATGTAATGTTTCTAATGATACTTTACTAGAGGTATTATTCTATCGCATGATGCTTTTCATATGCTTTTCTTTACTTTATCTAACGAAACTTTAACATTTGTTAATGTTTTTTTTCTTATTATGTTATTTTCAAGTATTTGAATTTCTTTGTTTAATTATAATTTTAAATTGTGTTTATGTACTTTATCTAATAATTATTTCATATGATGAAATATAATAAAATGAAGTAGACGTACTCCAGTATGGGCAACCGTACGATCTCGAACAACAAGAACACTCATAACGTATAGTCGGCTAAACAAGGCCTAGATATGACAAATTTGAAGCAATTCAACGTCTCACTGTATACCTAAGCTTTTACGAATTTCGAAAATGACAGATATAAACCAACGATAACCACAGAACTACACATGCTTATAAATTGGGACAAGCATATTGATAAAGTGGCGGGGTTAAATATATTGTTGGCTGGTACCAATATCTCCCCCTAACTCGGTACAATGGTGTAACAGTACAAGCATATCGATTCAAAGCAGAAAAACAATTAATAACAATACAGATCGGACGTGACATGGAAATGTATACATCCCTCACAACAAAAAAGCACAGATCTAAGTACTCACAAATGACTGACAGCTAGTTCAAAACCAATACAAACTTATAGAATAATCACATATCCAAGACTAAAACATCAATCAGTACACATCGAACATCCAATGGATTTAGAAAAAGACGCCATTAATAGTCAGAGAAAAATGTGAACTCATGCAATACTAAAAAATAGGTATCGACAGATTGTAGGACCGTAAGTGTGCATTTCTTAATAACAATGATCTTGTATGGTTAAGAATAACTGATAAAAAAAGTTAATATGTATACAAAAAGTATTCAAAGATCTTATTAACGTGTTGAACTGGTAACCTTTTACAATTTATTTGTCAATGTAGCCAACTAAAGTAAAACATATTCGTAAATATTTTATTTTATCTCGGAAAATAAGTGTGACTTTGCATTATAGTTTGGTTATTTTATGCTATCTTAGAATCTGGCAATATATGTCCTGAACCTAGGAATTCATTCATACATTTTTGTATTATTCAAAATTACTGGTAAAAAAATGTTTTACAAGGATCACCTGTACTACACTGTTCATTTAATAACAAATTAAATTACCAAAATATATACTACATAGTGTGATATTTACATCAATGAGTAAAAACTATTTTTTTATAAACGTACTTCTCTCCGGTATGTGCATTCGACCGGGCCGAATTTTGTGGTGTTACATCTTATAAAGTCTATCGGAATTAACTCAGCAAATAATTCCGCTCAAGTCGGTGCAGGGAATCGTCTTTAACTTGCAGTGAGGTGAGATTCTTTTATTGATCATGTTGAAGCCGCACTGTTACTTTGGGATATCGAAACGCAATAAAAGTGCAGTTCCTTTGATGTTTGTCTGTTTGATTTTTTGCTCTGCATGTGCCCCAAATCCTGTTTTTCTCTAAATTGAACCAATTTTCTTAATCAATCCAACAATTTTTTTTTTTAAGTATAACAACTTTTCCATCAAAGATTGAATAATGATTCCGAAAATAAAAATGAACATGTTTATAACGGTCTTAAAAAGAGAGACAACAGATACTACAGAGACACGACAACGAAATGGCAAAACTTGAAAAACACCAAACGACAAACAATTAACAAACAACATACAAAATTAAGACTGGGCAACATGAACCCCGCAAAATACCGCGGGTGATATCATCACCTCTGGAAGGGTTAACAGATCATTAATTAACATATTAAACAATTTTGAACAAAATCAGATTACACTGAATTAAAACATTTTATTTAAAATAATGATAGTAATCCAGATAAACAAATTGTTAAATAAGGTAAGTCGAATTCTGGTAAAGTCAACTTTCATTTCGTATCATTTCACATCATATAAAAACGCTTTATCGGATTTACTAGCAACTAACAATTTATTGGTAGATGTATCCTAATGCAGAGCCTGTGGGCATCTCAGTCCATCTTCTCTTGACAAGAGTTGTCTGTAGTGTTGTCCCTCAGGAGAGATAACGACCACATTGTGAGTACTATGACTGGCTACATACAAGTTACCATCATTGTCCACAGAGATACATAGTGGACACAGCAGAATATTTTTATTACAGAACGTCCACAGTATGGTACCATGGTAACCACAGCAAGTTACACTGTCATTTGTGTGGTTTGTTTAGAACAGTTTGTCGCCGAATGTTGTAACGTACGCAAAATCTGGGAGTTCGGTATTGCTAACATTGGTAATGGTTTGTTCACTCAGACTGATCATCTGTCCATCCTTGTAAACTACTCCATCAGTGTATGCGATCAACTTTTATTGATTTCTTCCGTTTTTGCTTTTTTAAATCTATTATATGAATCTGATTTAACTCGCCGGAAGTTACAGAAATACAATCATCACCAACAAATACTACATCCAACGGTTGACCGAATTTCTTTATTTTAAAATCTTTCGATCCGTCAGACTTGAGTACTCTTATTTTGTCGTCCCAGAAATACGTAAATACTATCCTTTCACCAAGAAGCAGTGAACAACCAGAGACATTTGACACATTAGACAACTCTGTACTGATACGTTTCTGTACTGTCAGAGTAATATTTTCGATACTTCTGGTTGGAAGAGCTACACAGGCAATTTTTTCCAACGTGATTTTAACATGGGAATCACGTGATATTCACGTTGTCCACACCACGTGAGTACAACGTGAAACGAGCAGAAACGTAATATTCACGTTGTGAGCACAACGTGAAATAAACGTTCGTCTCACGTGATATTCACGTTGTATATAAATCCACATAATATCAACGTGATAATACAACGTGATATTCACGTTTAATATAAAGCCACGTGATATAAACGTGATAATACAACAAGACTTTTATGTGAAGCAGCCACTAGGAAAAATGAAATATTGTCTTTGTTGCTCTCATTGACATATCATTTTTTGTTCTTGGTCATCTCTATTTGAAGATGTTTCTCTGGTTCTTTATGGTAAAAGTACTGTAAAAGTGAGTTATACATCAATAAATTGTCTTATATTGATTATCAGTTACCTCATAAGCATGTTTTATTAACCTGTTATCATCCTGAATATGTATGTAATATTTGTGGCTGGATGTTTAGCATCCATTAAAACTTATTTTATATATATATATAAATCCAAATCTTATTTAAACCATGAGACTGTTTCTACATGTTTGAAACCTTTCGAATCTTCCTGTTAGTATTTCTTTTTTTTGTTTGTTTGAAATTATTGCTTTATAATCGCGTTTGTTTGACAATTCATAAAAAATCTATAAGTATGAATACCAATGTCAAAGTCAGCTACATTTTAAATTTATACAATGTTTGAAAAGAAGTCGAATTCGAAATTGCACAACAAATAATGCAAAACCAAATGTATACCAAACAACAATTCAATACAGACTAGCTATTTTACAATGTTCATTCTACAAGAGTTGTGTCCCTTGCAGGTTTACCATGACAAATCTAAAAATAATCAGCTTATGATTAAAAAATTGTCCCTAACAGAGGCATATGTTACCAAATGTTAAAAAAAACAAAACACTTTCCACATTAAATTCAATTATATTTATATTTAAGAATATTCTAAACAGTTAACATTTGAAAAGTTACTGAAATAGTAACAAATAATATTTGATTGTTCCGTCTTCTAAATGCTCCACTCTTTTGAAAGTTTCTTCATCTGAAAGGATAAAAAAAAGAATTTTATTTACTGTTATAATATTATCTTATTTAAGCATACATAATGAAAGCATTATTTTACTTCTAACATGAGTGTTGCTTTTGCTTTGTAAACAACAATGTGATAAAATTCTCAATATATCTATAGTTTACAACCCTAGTAAACATTATAATTATATACATATGCACTTTCATGGATCTACAATCTGTCATTTCCTGTATCTTGGCATTGCACCAGGTCATGTTTTTCTCTGATTGTTTATGATGTCTTTACACTAAATCCATTGGATGTTGGATGTGTACTGATTGATAATTTATTCTTAGATGCATTTTTTTTTAAGTTGTTATTGGCTTTGAACTAGCTGTCAGTATCTGCACTCTCAGATTTGTACTAAGTGTCTGTTTGTTGTTGGGATGTACAAGTACCCATCCACGTCCACTCTGTGTTTTTGTTGTATGTATTTCTATTTGTATCCATCTGTTGAGTGCAGCCTTTTTCAACGGATTTTTTTAGTTCGTTCTAATGTTGTGCTGTTACACTGCTGTCCCAGATTAGGGGAGGGTTGAGATCCCTCCCAACATGTTTAACCCTGCCACATTCTGTATGTATGTGCCTGTCCCAAGTCAGGAGCCTGTAGCTAAATGGTTGTTTGTTTTTTTCGTTAATTTTTTTATACATTAATCAGGCCGTTAGTTTTCTCGTTTGAATTGTTTTACATTTGTGATTTATAGCTGACTATGCAGTATGGGCTTTAGTCATTGTTGAAGGCCGTACAGTGACCTATAGCTCTTAGTTTCTGTGGCATTTGGTTTCTTGTGGAGGGTTGTCTCATTGGCAATCATACCACATTTTTTTTATATGTATCATAACTAATGTGGTGATTTGCCTGTGTAAAATTGAAATGAAAACTAGACAAAGTGACTCCACTCTGAAGTAACTGTATTATAACAAAGTCAATGTAGGACTTTCTTTGAGATATTATTGTGTCTGGGAGACACAATTGATGCCCCCGCAGATGCAAAGTGTTATTTTAAAATAACTATAACATTTAAACGCTTACACCCAAAAAATGACAAAAGTTCAACTATCTCCCAAAAGAGCAAATATTAATAAAAATCAAAACCCTGACCACATGCACACTTTCAATGTATGTACAAACAGCCAGCAAAGTGAAAAATTCCTAGCATTCAAACTGTAGGAGGAGTTATCTGGAAACGCTCCTCTTATGAAAGTAAATACTCCAAAAATTGACAAAGTTCAACTATCTCCCAATAGAGCAAATATTAATAAAAATCAAAACCCTGACCACATGCACACCTTCAATATATGTACAAACAGACAGCAAACTGAAAACTTCCTAGGATTCAAACTGTAGGAGGAGTTATGCGGATTAACTATAT